CGATCCGTGACAATTATTGCCCAGGCGAGCTCCCGTTTGCGGCGCGCACAAGGGTGTGGAGGGGGGGGAGAAGGCTTCTTGGAAGGAGGCTTCCTCTCAGAAGGCGCTGGCCTTACATCTGTAGATGCGGCCCGCGCCTTCTAGGAAGCAGGGGTGCTTCTGAGAAGCCCTCCCCCCTCCCCCCCCCCCGCCCCCCTCTGCGCGCGGCTGCTCCCCACCCTCCAGTCCTCGACAACGAGCCAGTCGTCCGAGCGGTCCGAGCCGGGCGCCTCCGACGTGCGGCAAGTGCTGTCGCTGCTGCTGCAGGTGGTGGCGCTGCCGCTGCCGGGCAGCGCCGCCGGGCCCGCCAGGGAGGCCAGGTCGTCCTCCGGACGTCTCTCGGGGGAGGGCCACGCCGAGACAGCGTCGGCACGAGAGCCCAGAATCGAATCGGCAAGTCGTTGGCGGCGCGCACAGGGGGGGGGGCTTCTTAGAAGGGGGCGGCTTCTTCGAAGGCGCCGGCCTCGCATCTATAGATGAGGCTCGCGCCTTCCAGGAAGCAGGGATGCTTCTAAGAGGCCCTCCCCCCTCCCCCCGCCCCCCTCTGCGCGTGGCTGAAGTCGGACTGGACGGAAGTCGGTCGAAATGAATCGGATCGGCGGGAATCGGCAACCGAGTCGGGAGAAATCGAATCTGCTGACATCCGCGGGCTAATAGGCCTCCATGCAGAAACCGGAATCCACACCGGAACCCGAAGTCAGATCGAAGCGGAATCGGAAGGCATCGAAGTCGAAGCGAGTCGAATCGGAGGAATCGAAACGAGCCCTGCGCCAGCCCTCCTCCTGGATCTCCGACGATGCTAGTTTTGTTCCATGTGAGGGTTAGGTCGGGCATGTCCCTCTACAGGCGGACTTTGAACGAAAAATGAGACATGGTCAAAAGATACTCGAAATAGACAAACATCGTAGAACAATCGTCCCCAGACTACTTTTTTATACTGTTTTTGTGCTCCCCCTGTAGAGGGGCACGCCCGACTCCATATCGGGAGCGGCCACGAGGGGGGCGTCCAAGAGGGGGGGGGTGCAAATCATGGCCGGCGGCATGTGCGCGGCCCAAGGGGGCCAGGGACATAGTAAGATAAGAAGAGCCCATGAAATCTAGGGGAAATCTCATGGCCAACGCAATGGAATTCCCCCCGCCCCCTCTCCTCCTCCTACCTCCTACCTCCTCCTCCTCTCCTCCTCCTCTCCTCCTCCTCCTCCTCCTCCTCCTCCTCCTCCTCCTCCTCCTCCGCCTCCTCCTCCTCCTCCTCCTCACTCCTCCTCCTCCTCCTCCTCCTCTCCCTCCTCCTCCTCCGCCTCCTCCTCCTCCTCCTCCTCCTCCCCTCCTCTCCTCTCCTCCTCCCTCCTCCTCCTCCTCCTCCTCCTCCTCCTCCTCCTCCTCCTCCTCTACTCCTCCCCCCTTGTCCCCACCCGGCGAAAGAGAGAGAGAGAGAGAGAGAGAGCCCCCTGGTCATCGCCCCCCTCCTGGCCGCCCCCGACCACACCAGGGCGCCCCTGCTCGCCTCGGGCCTCCGGGGGCCTCGGGGAGGGCGGGCCGAGGCAGCGGCGGTCCTCCCCCTTCGGGCGCTCCTCTCCCCTCCGCTCGCCGCCCCGTGGCCCCCGCTCGGGCCGCGGAGACACCCCGCCGCAGGCTCCTTCGGAGGCTGGGCGAGGGCTGCTCAGACCGTGGCTGCGAACACGGCCCTCCCGGAAAGAAAAAGCAACTTCCCGGGCACGGGACCCCAACCAGATCCCTTCCAAATGAATCGAGTTTCGAAAACCAGCAAACCCGACCTCCTTATCAGCCCGAGGGGACAACATCAAGTAAGGCCACAATTGAATCAATATGAACAGCGGCCCTTCCCAACGAATTTTCCGAGACACTAAACGAGTTTACGTCTGCAGAAAAAGCAACTTCCCGGAAGGAGGCGCGGCACGCGAAACGGTCCACGGGCTTCTTCCCGAAGGACGAAGACAACTTCCCGGAGGTCGATCTTAGCAGCCACGGAGTTAGCAGCCATTGCCCGGCTTCCGACTGTTGTCTCCGGCTTCCGGGGGCCGTCACATGGAGGCCTCCTGGTTGGGGTCCGAGCCCACGGGGTCGGAGGATCTCGCCGCACCGCCGAGTCCTCGGCGATGCATCGCCGATGCATCGCCGGTGCATTGGCGATGCGCTGGCGACGTCGGCGGTGCCTCGGCGTGGAGAACATTGGGCCCCACATCGAGCCGCATCGCCGATGCATCGGCGATGCATCGGCGATGCGGCGGGACCCTCCGACTCCGTCTACTCCGACCCCATCCAGGAGGCCTAGATCACAAGGCCCAAGACAATATAGGGAAAAACGCCTCGCGATGAACAAAACAGTCCCGTGGAAGAGGTCCAGACCTCTGGGGGTCCACGTCGTGAAAAAATCATGGCGTCGGTTGGGGGTGTTTCGGCCTGGCGTTCTTCGTCGTATCTGGGGCCTCCTGAAAGCGTCTCGTTGCCACGACGACTGATCCGCCTCGAGGAACTTGTCGCGGGCGGGTGGTAATGGGATGTGACACAAATAGGGCGTGAAGAAGAAGGCCCAAAAGGGGCCCTAAAGGGCCTTGGCGCTTGAAGATCGAGCCTTGTTTCAAAGCCCTCTTTTGGTTGGGCATCCGTTTTAGATAGCACACTGCTGCTCCTCTCCTTCCTCCCTCCCCCGCATTGCTTCCTTATCGCTGCTTCCTTGCTTCCCTTTCCACGCCCTCCCTGGGTGCTGCCAGCCGCTGAACTTTCGCTACTTTTATGAGCTTCTGGGGGGTCCGACCGGAAACGAGGCGACTCAAATCCAACCAGTACCTCGCCTCCCTGGGTACGGCCCATGGGAACAAAACTGCACTTTCGCGGGTTCCAACGGAGCGCGGTCTCGCCCTTTCTCAGAATCGTCCAGCTGTCACCGCTTCCGTTCCTGCTTGTGAGAGGCCCCGTGGAATGAGGCCTTCCCCAGATCCAAACGGCACCTCGGTCTCCCCCGCAGCTGCCGTTCGTGGCCTCCCAGGAGGTCCAGCGCAACGCGGCATTTGCCCAGATCCAAAGGGCACCTCGGCCTCCCTCGTGGCTGCCGTCTGTGCGCAATGCGCCCGCACCCAGACCCAAAGGGTGCCTCGCACCCGTTGGCGCTGCCAGTTGCGTGACCAATTGCCTTCGCTCGTGGGGCTGGTGGGGGACTGGCGGCGTGCGGCCTTCCTCTCAGGTCGGGTCTGTCCCCCATACAGGGAAACTTCAGGCGAAAAATCAAAGATACTCAAAACATCCCCCAAACATGCCTCCCCCCAAACAAACAATAACACAAATCGTCCCCGTACTTTGTTATAACTATGTTCCAATGATCCTCCTGCAGAGGGGACAGGCCCGACTTAACCTTACTCGAATCCGACCCCTCCCTAGGCGCTGCCGACTGCGAAGCCGTTGCCATGTTTGTGAGCTTGTGGGGGTCGAACGGACGGCGGTCTCATTTGGATCCATCAAAATCCGCCGGCCCTGTCGGAATGTACGAGAGGCTGTTTCGTTTGACTCGTCGTCGTCGCCGCGGAGCAGCCCGAGCGAAATTTAGCAACGTCGTCATTGAGTCGACTGGAAGCCCCTTCTCTTTGATCCCTTCCCCGCTGGGGGGGGGTCCTGCGGGTGGGCAGGGGGGGTCCCAGGGGGTGGTCCTGGGTCAGAATACCATCCCCTGGGCCCCCTGGGGGGTCCTGGGGCCCAAAAGGCCCCCCAAAGGCCCCCACGATGCCCTCAAGGAACCGCCAGGAGGCTCACAATAGGCTCCCAAGACACATCCCAAACTTCCCACCAGAGGCACCCGAGAGCGCTCCCCGGCAAAAGGGAGGGGTCCCGCGGGGGGTCCCAGGTCAGAATACTAACCCTTCCTGGCGGTTCCCAGGGCCCAAGAGGCCCTCCTGAGGCCCCCCGCCAGGAAGCCCCAGGAGGCTCCCAAAAGGCTCCAAAGAGACCTCCCAACTTCGTGGGGGTTCTTGGGCACCTCTTGGAGGCCTCGTGTAGCCTCTTTGGCGCTCTCGGGAGCGTCTAATCCCGACCTTCCCGAATGCCCCGTCCCTCGTGTGGGTCGTCGTCCAGGGTCGGCGGCACTAGCCGTAAGGCCTCAGCAAGAACTCCCCTCCGTGGGCGCTGTCAACCGGATCCAAATTAACTAATTATGACAATCGGTCGAGGATCTATCATACATAACTGAAAATCAGAACGAAGTCCCGTCTTGGCAGCGCCAGAATACACGCCACAGAAGGACCTGAGGAACAGCAAGCCCCCTCCGAACCTAAACTGACCCTTATTCCAGACAGCAGATGCCCTGTTTTTTTCAATGCAGGTCCCGACCTTTTCCCGAGGGCTCCCAGAAGTCCCACCGCCCCGACTCTTTTCAGCCACAATTGCTTTTTGTGGGCGGTCCTGGGGCCAGGCGAGGGCCCCCTGAGGACGGAAAAACGGCCAAACACCTTCCGTCGAAAGTTCACACTGACGGTTATGCTGCCCCTCATCGTGCTGAAGGACCACATCCCAGAAATAATTTCGAGCACCCAGAAAAGTGTCGAAAGAGTGTCGAAAGAGTGTCTCCAGGGCCCGGCACGTGAAAACCCTGGAGTTTTGAGGTGTTTTCCTGGTGCTCGAAATTCACTCTGGTGATCAAGGCTCAAGTAGGTTGGAACATCAGAACACTGACGGTTCGATTCCGTGCTTCAATGCCTGATCTCTTACTTTTTCGAGCTGGTGCCCCCCACCACCGCCAGCTGCTTTAGATAGGGCCGTAGAGTCCAGACACCTTTCCGTCGCGTGGCTGTCACGACGCGAGCATTGTGTGGGATCTGGGTGCCTTGACAAGACCCCCCCCTTAAGGGCCCTGGAAACGACAGGGCCGTTTTTTACCGGCTCCGTTTTTGCACTTTTTGCACCGGTTCCGTCGCCGCGCTTTTACGGGTTCCCGCTCCGGTTCCAATCCTGGAGCTGTTTCTGTTGCCGTTTCCGGTCGCCGTTTTATTGCCGTTTCCATTTTGAAGGGACACTTGTTCGGAAACGGTAAAAACACGGCCCTGCCGTTTCCGGGGCCCACTAAGGACAAGACCCCCCCCCTGGGTGGAGGCCAACCGTGCACCCGCCGTCGCCTCCGTGAGCTCGAGGGGCACCACAAGGGAATCTGGAAGCCAAAAAAAGGGGCCAACAGCGCCCGACAACGAGCCTGTATCCATGGTGTTCGAGCGTCGGCGACGACGACGGACGGACGGCCGGACGACGGGCGGTCGATAGACGCCCAACGGACGCGACCACGACAGCGACGGAAGAACGGATGGCGGACGACAACGACGTACGC